ATTGGAAGTGTAAAGTGTCCTCTGGTGAGTCCCTGTAATAAGTGGGGCCCAATACCACCCACAGCAGTGACGAGAAGCTTCTTGGAGTTGCACAACACCAAGCCTGGCTCCCAGTGGGCCTCTGTGACAGCCTTCCATGTCCTTCCCCGAAGCGCTCCATGTTGTGAAGGTACCACTGCTGTCGTGATTATTTTCACTCTTCCGTGATTTAGAGGCTGGCAATGAAAAATGATAGCCCCTGAAAGCAAAAGCAGGGCCCCTTATTTTAAAAGTATGTGTCCTTTACAAGTTCTGCCCTTCAACGAGGCTCTCAATTTCCTCCCTGTTATTTTGTTTTTTAAACTCTCACCAGAGGAATATCAATGTCTTAAGACAATAGGATCTCATCTGCAAGTTTGGAAATGTATCCCGGGATCACAAAGCTCTTTTGTCCCTTAATACCTTAGAAATAACACCTAATTATATATACCACCTATTAACTGCGACCTAGGACAAAACTGGAATGTAGGCACTTCAGCAAACAGATTACGTGATGGTTAAATGCCTACGCAGTCAATGGCGTGACACCCAGGAAGCGCTTCATAAACTCCCTCCACGTGGGTGCACACTGGGAATCACAGGGAGGAACCCTGCCCACCTGAAAATAATCACAGGACCTGTTTTCTGTCTTAATTTCTCTTGAGAAAGCAAGGGGAATCTATGTCCTCAGAAGCAGTTTCCCTGTCTAAATATTTCATTACATTTTAGGAAAAAAGCAGCCATTCTCATCTGTAGTGGATGGTGGGCCCAAGCCCAAGACAATCACTCTGTACAACTCTTTGACCTTTTGGGTTTCTCCCAAAATAGTTTCTTCAGTTCCACTGTCATCAACCTCAAGCTCCCAAATTGATCATCACCAACCAGTGTTGCTTTGCAGGAAGCCCTCTAAACCCCTATCCATTGCTTTGGCTCAGAGGTGGATCAAAAGAGGGGTGTGTCCTGCTTTGGCCCAAAATTCATCATGGAAGGGGCAGACTGGGAATGAGGGCATTAGTGAACTTTCCGGAACATTTTATCCCCTACTTGGAGGGAGGGATGGAGGTGGGCTTTTTTGTCTAGAAGTCACAGCCCTGTAGAACTCCGTTTTGTGTGGTTTCTCTGATTGTCCTGGTCACCACAGTGCATGACAACACCCCACCCCCATTGTGCATGCTTCACCCAGCCTCCCTGAATGGTACCATCTTACAACACTCTACAGCATCAACAAGCCATGAGTTTGACGTTGGCACAATACTGTTGAAACCCAGACAGTACTTTCAATTCACTAGATTTCACATTTACTATTTATATCATCATATGGAATTTTACCACATGGCTACTATTTATTAACTCTACTTTCCTTCCCCCCTGAAAGACAATGATCCCACACCGTTTCATATTCAAGCAGAAGTGACGATGAAAACAAACTTTTTTGGTACTCGAGATGTCTGCACGGAGCTNACTGAGCCATCTTGCCACCTGTTGGCAGTTAGATGATTTTTTAATTGAGTTATTTACATACAATAACATTGACCCATTTTAGTGTTCAGATTGGTGAGCTTCAGCAGTTGTGTACAGTCATATATATAATAATCCTAACCAAGATGTAACATGTTCTGTCACCCCGCAAAGTTCCCTCTGTGTTCCTTTGTACTCTCTTATCTCCCCATCACTAACCTTGCAACCACTGACCGGCCTGCTGTCACTATGGTTGTGCCCTGTCTAGAGTGCTTTTGACAGCCATCTCTGTTGTATACCAGTAGTTTGTTCTGTCAGTGGATGGGCATTTGTGGTCTTTCCCATTTGGGGATGTTATGACTAAAGTGGCTATGAACGTTCAAAAGAAAAAAAAAATTTGTTTCAGTTCATAACCGTTTCATATGACCATGCCACTCAGGTCTGCAGGCTCCCTTCAACCTCGTCAGGTCCCAGATACAGGAGTGGTCCTGGCAGCATTGTCGCTTCACCCTTTCAGGCATCCGGTATCATTAAGCTAAGACGCAACATCATCTCTTGCTCTGAGCCCCCGGAGGCACCATCCTAATACTGGATCCCTCTTGTCGCAGAACTCATTTATTCATTCCTTTAGCCTCAGTTGCCCTTCCGACTTCTCCCCGTTTATCATTGATTTTTACCCAGACTTTTTCACCTTTCAGAGGAACGTGAAGTTCAGCCACTGTGCTAATTCTGACTGTCCACAAGGATACTTACTAGTTGAACCAGTGCCGTTCCTTCATCCACTCCCGTTCATACAGGATGGGGGTGCGCAGGTCCAGACCTCGCGGGCTGTGTCAGCCGCTCGTCAAGGCGGCTGTATTCGCTGCCACTCCGATTTGGGGTGAAGGCACAGTTCACTCCATAGACTCTTGGAAATTCTGACCTAAAGGTTTAAAACTGTAGTCCCAGTTTCTCGCTTAGGGAGCATCCCTGCTTCCCGTATCCACAGTTGCAGCCCTGGTTCTGGGGCCACTGGATCAGGTCAGGTAGGAAAAAAAGGAGAGGCAGTGTAGGGAAGAATTGTGCCGTCACCCCAGCATCCCTCCCAGCCCCTCTTCCCATGGCCCCCCAAGAAGCAGAAGAATCTATCCAGTGGGGAATCTCCCTTGGCCCCCGTCATGTTGAGTGTGAGCACATGCTCATGCATGTGTGTAAGCCAACCCTTCACCTGAACCTTTATCTCTTCCTGCTTGAGATAGCCAGTGTTTCCAGTTAGCCTGTTCCAGTTCCCTACCAAACCACTGCCCTGAGGGCGAGGTGTCGTCTGCAGAACTAAAGCTTTGGTGTGGTGTCTTCTGAGCCAGTCTTGCTCTACCGCTGGAACACGTGCACCGACTTCCAGGTGTGCACCACCTGGTCCGAGCATCATGTCCTGTCTTTTCCCAGCCTAAAACCTTCAACCTGACTTGCCAGCTTTGCAGGGCTTGCCCCTCGGGAAATCTCCCCCATAACCATCTGCCGTCTTTATCTCTCTTGCTGGCAGGTAGATTGGCCCTTGGCATTTTGTGCCTCAGCGCGTACAAGAGTCCTATGTCCACAATTATCCCACCTCTGCATCACTGCAGCTCCCGTGTCCACTTATGGACCAGATGGCTACTTGAGACAAGCATACCAACATATCCACTTGGCTGGTTCCCATCCCCTTCGAATCCTGGAAGTGGTCCTTCTAATGGGCATAAACTTCGGCTGCGTTAATTTCCTCCCTTAATTCCCATGTGACTTCCATAGGGCCATGGCATGTATGGGCATCCCTTTAGTAGTCTATTTTCCACTGGCCTCTCGGTGATCACATTGTCACGCCATTAGTCACTGCTCCCAAGTTGATAAAACCCAAATATAGAGAAAATAGCATGTAATTCATCCCACTGAACTGATTGGTTTTCACCTTCCTCGATCCAGGCAGCCTTCCACACCAGACGCTTCCCGTTCACTTTTGCCATCCACAAACCAATTGTCTCTATATTGGTCAGTAGACACCTGTACATAGAGCACTATACAAGTGACTATAAGGGCCTCCAGTGGTCCACAAAATGGCCTTGGGGAACAGAGGCACTCTATTCCTGAGTGCAGTGAGTCTCTTATATTCCCCTTACCATGCTCCCATACAAATGATTTTCATTTTCTTATGGAACTTTGGGGCACTGCCCTCCCCATTAGAACACTCCTCGGACATCCTCTAAGACATTAAGGGTGTGACAGCTTTCCAGCCTGTTTCACGTCCTTCACTCAAAGAGGCAGTCTTCATTAATGCTCATAGCAAATTGGTAATTGTTTCTCAAAGGGAAATTTCCTGGTCCGAGATCCCAGCAAACTGGGCACTCGTCATTCCTGTGTGCGCCCTCCTATGTAACGATTCCTGTTGTGTTTTAGGCAGAGTGGTGAATGTGTCGAGCATGGTGAGCCTCAGAGCTCTTAAAAGCTGCAGCCCAGAACTGCAGCAGAAGTTTAGAAGCGAGGCCATCAGCGAGGAGGAGCTGGTGGGGCTCATGAACAAGTTCGTGGAAGACACGAAGAATGGAATACACCAGAAGGAAGGCTGGCCTAATACCGCGTATGGAGTGACAAAGATTGGCGTCAC